TATTACTGTGATATAAACAAACTTGGTTCCTTCGAGAAACTACTCTGCATGTAGCTTTTGCTTTGGCTTAGCCAGAGTAAAGATTCCTTGAAGTTCTTTTGGCATAATCTTCCATACAGTCCATGAGCACATGTAGCTACAGAATAGACTGAACAAGGTATGTGTGAAGTCACTAACTGTAATGTGATACAGCTGAACCAAGAATGTTTCTCAAAACTTGCCATAGTCTAGCATTATTCTCATTTCTAGTGTTTCCAATGTGATTTTAGCAAACTTTTATTATATTTTTAAATTAAATTTTGCTTACATCTTTGCTCTAGAAACTATAAATCACAGACTTGTCTTTATATGCAGAATTGGATTTAAAAGAATGTGCTAGATAATGAAATCCTTGAAGATTCAATTTTATTCTTGCCCTTAATGTTACTGGAGATAAGGGCATCCCTTCTCTCTCATTAGTTGGTCAAGTACCACTTTAAAACATCTGGTTATTGAACTTGCTACTTTTTTGAGTAGGCTATTGCAGAATGGCAGTGCTTTGCTTTAAACCCCCTGCTCAGCCACGGCCAAATGTATTGTTGGCTAGTTCTTACCTGTTTCTTGCTTTGCTAGTGCCATGCTTCATCTTAAATACATCATGTTTAACCCCCTGGAATTTCTCAGAGGGAGCACACCTTTTTATCTACTTCTTTTGAATGCTAAATAGTATACTCGCATAATTTCTTATGCGATAATTTTCTTTCATTTTCATGTATCACACCGGTGTTAATAGTTCCTCAATTGTACTTCGGAGTACTAGCTTGAATTCGGGTTACAGTTAGTACCGTATTGAGTGTGAGAACCAAGTGAAATCTGTCAGACGTGGATATTACAACCTGTTTATTTGTTATATGTCTCTGTCATTTTGTGTATTACGATCTGCTCTCTCCAGATAGTCAGTGCTTCCATTGTCTTTTCCTCACAGCCGGTTGCTGAACCAATTCCAATTTGCAGTTTCTGCCTTGGTACAAAAGAGCAAAATCGGGAGAAGAAACCTGAAGAGCTCATCTCTTGTGCTGACTGTGGCAACAGTGGTAGGTGACCATTTACAGGGCTACTGGTACTAATCCATTCCCTAGAAACAGAACAGCTTGATAACATGCCTGATACTGCTGCCCCATGCACATGGAGAGTCTGCGCCCAAAGAGAACCTTGGCACTAAAGCAGAGAAGTCTGAGGTAGTGACTGCTGCTGACCCAGATGTGAGGAATATGCATCTCTGGCAGTTAGTTCAGATAAATCTTATGCTCCCAGAGGGGAGACAGTTAAGTTAACCTACCACAAATAGTTCCTTAGGTTCCTGGACATTTCTTTAAAAATGCAGTAATGAAGATCAGTTTTATCATGTTTCTTGATTCAGTTATTGTTCTGGTGTAACCCCAGCCAGCAGCCAAGAGCCACCCAACTGCTCACACTCCCTCCTCCCCACTTCCCCCCTCAACCCAGAGGGATGGGGAGGAGAAAATAAAATAAAATGTGTAGGTTGAGATAAGAACAGTTAATAATAAAGAGCAGAATGAGATAAAATGCTAATGGATAATAAAAAGAAAGTGAAAGCAAAAAAAACCAACAAAACCAAACCAGGGATGCACAATCCAATTGGTCACCACCTGTGGACTGACACCACCCGGTCCCTCCTGCTGTATCGGCTCCCCCTCCTGTTTATATACTGGGCATGAGGTTCTCTGGTGAGGAATACCCCTTTGGCTGGTTCAGGTCATGTGTCCTGACTATGCTCCCTCCCAGTTTCTCTTGTGTACCTTCTCACTGGCAGAGCATGAGGCACAAGAAAGAAAGTGTCCTTGGTTTAAGAGAAACACAACTTGGCAGAAACCAAAACATCAGTGTGCTATCAGCAGTGTTCTCACTCTGAATCCAAACACTGCACTGTACCAGCTACTGAGAAGAAAAAATTAACTCCATCCCGACTGAAACCAGCAGAGTTATGAAGAATTATCTTTGTGTTCTTTTGTATGTGAGCCTGCCACTTGCTCTCTGGGGCATTGGTTTTGTGTTGTAAGTAGGTAAGAATAGAAGCACCTAAAAATAGGAGTATCTGGATAATCAAAATTCTGTATGGAAATACCTTATTGATGTATGGAAATAACTAATTGATAAAGTAATCTTTCAGTGAGCTGTCTGTGCCCATTAACAGCAGTGGAATGGTTTTACTGGTACGTTTTTTTTCTTTTTCTGTAGGTCATCCGTCCTGTTTGAAATTCTCTCCAGAGTTGACAGTTCGAGTGAAAGCCTTGCGATGGCAGTGCATTGAGTGCAAAACATGCAGTTCCTGTCGAGATCAGGGGAAAAATGCTGTGAGTATAGTGGAGTTATGGACTGAAGGAAGAAGATACCAGTCTTGTGGATGTTCTATTAAGCTAAAAACTAATTCTAGTGGCAAATACTTGCAGCTCTTATTTTAGTCTGCTAGTCTTTCTGAGACCTTGATATGTCTGTAGTTGAAAACTATGTGCCTGTTCTCTGAGATGGTGACAAATTAATGGAGGTCTTGATGCTGATGCACATCAAAGAGAGATGAACTTTATCTGTCTTCAACAGGATAACATGCTGTTTTGTGATTCCTGTGACCGTGGCTTTCACATGGAATGCTGTGATCCTCCTCTTACCAGGATGCCAAAAGGTGAGGACTCTGTGATGAAAAGAGTAATCTAAGGTGGTGTGGAAGACATCAGC